TCCTCCTTCCTTGAGCATTCTTGCGGAGGTACCTTCGATACTGTGTCCTTGTCATCTCGTCAATGGCGATAGGCTGGTGACGACGGACATCGTAGGTGTGCCAACCACCCTGTGGCACATTTGGCATCCTGAAAGTTCTCCTGACAGGTGGGGAACCTCTCATCGGTCGGGCAAGTCCAAAAGGCAGACTTTTGAAAGGTGGGGCACTTTGAGCAACCCACTGCCTACATTGTCCTCTTCTCCATGCAGGTGCACGTACTCCCTCGACATTGCGTTCATATGAGGGGTACCTTGGTTTGAATTGTCGTGGTCCCAATCTCTGGTGGACCAACTGGCTTGGTCTTGCTCCCCCAATGTTCAGCTTTCCACGACACTGGGCACACAGTTTCTCTTCCTCAGCTGGGTCCAAGAGTGGCCCCTCCTGCACTTGGGAGGATGAAGCTCCCTGGGCCACATCAGAACTACCACTCGGCGGTGGCGTTGTATCCACCACCAGCTTGAAGCGCGGCAGGTTGAGCTTAGAGAAATCGGGGTTGACCATGTTGACACCGACCACGTTTGGGAAAGGGTCTGTGTCAACAATCATGGCCTCCTTCCTCAGCTCTAGGAACTTGAACCGACCCTTCTCAATTGCATCCTGCACCACGTTGCGAAACACAACACACATGTTAGTTGAATGAGATACATTGTTGTGCCATTTACAGTATCGTTTCCCTTTTAACTTTTCAGCTGGCGGGATAGTATGCCCCCCAGTTAACTTAATTTGACCATCTTTGTAAAGCTGGTCGAAAATCAACTCTGATTTTGAAACATCAAAGGAATATTTCCTAGTTTGAATTGGAGCACGATTGGGCTTTCCACCCTGTGGTTCCCCATCAGGCTTGGCCAGAGAAGGACACACATATGGCTTCCCCTGCACAATTTCGGCCAAATCAACTTCAACCTCGTCAACATCACTGCCGACGTTATTCACACCATAGTTTTCAAAATTAGGGAAATATTGTCCACGAGAACCACTCCTCTTATGTTCTTCTTCATGGAGAAGAGACTCGTATCTAACAGCGCAGGACATCAATTGAAATAGATCAGAAAACTCCCTATCTTGAAACTTTTTACGAAGTTCAAAATTCAAACCACCCTCTTTAACAAACTCGCATTCTGTCAAGTTCATAAAACAACGATTTCTTGCATTCTTAAAGTTTGTTAAAAAGTGTTCCACCGTTTCTCCTGGCTGTTGGCGCATTCGTGCCAAGTCTGCCATTGTTACTTCTGGCTCAGAACGGTAGAACTGGGCATGGAACATTTGTTCCATTTGCTGCCACGTTTGAACCGAGTTTGATGGCAAGTTAACGTACCACGCGAAGGCGGGACCGGTCAACGAGTTGCCAAACAGACGCAACTTCAAGAAATCACTCACATCACCACACTGAACCGTGAATCGTCCAACGTGCTCGACAGTGGACTGATCCCCAGTCCCGCTGAAGGTAATGAAATCAGGTACGCGAAAACCACGTGGAAAGGGGTAGTATCTATCAACCCAATCCGGATATGGTTTTCGGTATACCAGCGGCATCGCTGGTCTAATCCCTAAACCAAACTGATCCGCCAGCATCTGTGCTACCTGATCTCGAATCGCGTTAACGTCTTGCCCCCCGAGTTGCCCCCTTGTGGTATGAATCCACCAGGATCCATGCCAAGCCCGTTTGGAGGAGGAGGGACGTTTTGCGGGTAGCCGCGTGGGGGAACATGATCATTGTTAATCGTTCCTCCACCAACACCACCGCTCATCGAAGCCACATAGGGCCTGGCCTCCGGGATATTTTGTGGACCCCCACCGTGAAACGGCGGTGGTTCAACCCGAGTGTTAGCGGCAGTGCTAGTCTCACCAATATTAACTCGCGGAATTGGTGGGTTCACCACCGGTGTCGGCGGAACTCCTTGTCGTGGCGGACTATTTCGAGCACTGTTGTTTGGAAAATCAGTTTCGCTGTTTGGATTGTTTTCACCGTTTAACGGCAAATCCCTAGGTTGCATTACTGGTCTACCCAAAAGCTCCCTGATTTCATTCATATCACGCAGATTTTTATCAACAAAAACATCAAAATCATGCCTGTTTTTAGTCACAATGTCAAAGACTTGGCTTAAACGCCTATCAACACGAGACTCAAGAGAATCATGTTGTGTAGTTAAAGCGTCAAAACTTTGATTTACCTCGCCCTTGAAGCTTGCAAACTCGCTTTTGAAGCCTGCAAACTCATTGTTGAGGCTAGCAAACATGCGGCGGTTCTCCTCCATGAAATGGCGGATTGACAAATCCTCGGTCGGCCCAGCTGTGAACGGCGGATTCTCAGAACCGCCGATGTCTTCAGTACCGACTCCTTGTCCTCCTTAAATGTTGGCCACATGTTCCTCCACGAATCCGGGCGGAACATCCCCTTCCTGATTCCTTCGTCGCGGAGCCATTCGAACACACGGGTCCCACCAGGTGTGCCAATTTGTTTCGTTGGCGAAACTCGCGCATTCAATGCGCTCTGTATTCAAGGAAACAAAAACACAAAGTCAACACAACCGTCAAATATCCGCCGCTGAATGTCGGCACCGTTGATTTGATCGATTAAAACAGAAATCAAGATGACCGTCAAATATCCACCGCCGGCGTCGGCGATGTTGATCTGATCGATACACCTTTGACTTCTAATCAAAAAACCGTTATTCGGTTCACCAAAGCAACTACGACTACAAGCTACGACTCTGCAAAGGAGTTCTTTGACAGAGCGGTTCTACGAAACTAGAGAGAAAAAAGATAAATTCTGCGTAGGTGCAGCTTGTGATTTGATTTTGCCGTCCCGAGCTTCTCTCTCTTCATAATCTTTATACTTCGCGCTTCTCCCCGTCGTTGTAACTGCCTTGGCGCCTTTGTCTCCCACGTCTTCATTCCTGTCAACCGTGCAAGTAACTTCCTCCTTGTTGCGTGATAATCACGTGCCCTCGTAACCGCTCTTGCTTTGCAGAAACTTGGGGAAACGACTAACAACCTTGCCCATGTAACGATTCACCAATACCATGACACCGCCTTTCACCAACCGATGTCGTTTTATAATCCAACTCAACTGCCCCGACCCGGTTTAACCAATGGCATTGTTAGTCCATTAAACAACGTCGTTCTCTACTCTTGCGCCGTCGTTGGGCTTGGCGGGCTGCCTTTGGCCGAACTCTTACCACTACCGTGATGTCGTTTTACTTTTCCGCGGCATCGCTTTTCATTAAACGACACCGTCTAAAATACTCATAAAATACTAATTAATTAAATCAGCCCTCATTGTTAACTCGCCGTCAAACTCTCACCCCTCGGCGTCATTCTTAGTTAAACAACATCGTTTCCCTGTCCCGCGATGTCGTTGAGTTTTTGAGCTTCGCGACACTGTTTTAATTTTAATACTGTCGTTTTAAATGCTGCGGCATCGTTTGGCATACTCGCGGTATTGTTTTATAATCCGCGGTGTCGTTTCTTTCCTCTTGCGGCATCGTTTTCAACTAAACGACACCGTCCTAAAAAATCATTAGCAATATTAGTTAATTAATCCGGCCATCACTAGTCAAACTCGTGTGTTGACCAACGACATCATTAGCGCCCAAAACGGCTTCGTTTGCCTTTCCCTTCGCGACATTGTTTTTTATTTAAACACTGTCGTTTGCTAATCCGCGGTAATGTTGGGCCTACTCGCGGTACTGTTTTGAATTTAAACGACACCGTTGATATAGCCGAAAATATTCCACGGAACCGCCGCCAATCGGCGCTCGCATTGGACTAGGCGAATTTTGGTTTAATTAATCGGTACCGCTTACCAGGCTCTCACGGCATCGTTTTTAAATCCGCGGTACCGTTTTAATTCTCCGCGATATCGCTTATCTCCATGCTGTACCGATTTTCCCCTTCCAACAAGGAATAAAGATAATAATTAATAATAATAATCAAACTCCTTTTCCAACACCAATACCAAACGCGTGGCCCACATTTTCCTTCCCGGTAAACGGTGTCATTTCCAGTGCCGCGGTTCCGCTGAGCCTCCTTGCGGTACCGTTTTAACTCTCCGCAGTGCTGCTTGTCTCCATGCGGTACCGATTTTCCCCTTCCGACAAGGAATAAAGATAATAATTGATAATAATAATCAAACTCCTTTTCCAACACCAATACCAAACGCGCGGCCCACATCTTGCTTTCCGGTAAACGCTGTCGTTTCCAGTGCCGCGGTTCCTGCTGAGCCTCCTTGCGGTACCGTTTTAACTCTCCGCGGTGCCGCTTGTCTCCATGCGGTACCGATTTTCCCCTTCCGACAAGGAATAAATATAATAATTAATAATAATAATAATCAAACTTCTTTTCCAACACCAATACCAAACGCGCGGCCCACATCTTGCTTCCCGATAAACAGTGTCGTTTCCCGTGTCGCGGTACCGGTGAGCTTCCTTGCGGTACCGTTTTTCTGTTTCGCGGTACCGTTTCAACTCTCCGCGACGCCGCTCAACTCCAAACGACATCGTTTTTTACCCGCGGTGTCGAATTAATGCCGAGACTAATTAATACGGCATTTAATTCAGGCCAAATTAATTTTTGGTGTCAACACCTATATAGAGGTTCGTTTCATTCCATTGCTTTTGAGTTATGATTTATGGTATTTCTTCAACAATATTAAGGACTTGTTTGTGAGTTTTTGTCAACTTAAAAGAGGAGACTGACCTATCCACAAGTAGAAATTGGATGACTATCTTGTATCAAAAAAAATGTTTTCTTATCTATATTAGTTCATTTTCGTTTCCATTAAAATTGTCAAGTGGATCCAGATATTTTGTTATGAATTATGATTAACCAAAACCAATGTAAATGATTATGACTCTTGTTTTTAATGATTTCGCGGTTATGGATAAACCAAACTATATTTTTTCTTCCGTGGTATGAATTTTCCTCTGCAACTTTTTTCACTTCCCTCTGAATAGTTACTGAAAGTGCAAGAGCTTGATTAGCAGCTTCACTGCAACCTCAACAAAATGGTTGAAATCTTCGATGCTATTCTACTTGGTGTCAAAACCATTTTGCCAGGCAGTGAATGTAAACGACATTATCAAATGACCTAACCTAAAATGGATCTATAATATTGTAACACATACATTGGATGCGAAGCCGAAATTCCAAAACATAAACCATCCCACCACACGGCTACGGCACCGTATCAGCGAGCTCCTTCAGTAGCTCCACCACGTCGCTTGAAGACCGAAGCAGATACCTGGCGTTGGTTCGCTTCTTGGAGACAGCACAAGAGAAGTAGTTCTCGCCCTTCAGATCTAGGACGGAAGACCCTTCATGGCCGCGAGACGATGACGACGACGACGACGACGCCGCACCCTCCGCCGACGCCGACGCCGACGAGGCCCTGTCGTCTCTGCCCAGCTGCCGCCAACTGGACGTCCCAAAATTACTTCTCTCCAGTGTTGACAATGACCGCTGCTTCATCAAGTGGGCCTGCGATTTGGGCGTTCTGCTTCCTGGCAACTTGGGCTTTGACCCCCTGCTGGCGTAGCCGTAAGGGTCAGGGGAAGTGGCCCGTGACGATATATGTGTCATCGCCGGCAGCTCCGGCTCGAAAAATGAGTAAATGTCTTCATCCTGAATACACCGTTGAATACAAGTTGTCATCCGGTTAGGAGCATCTTCCACGTTCAGCACAAAGGTGATCGTTTCATTCAAGTCTTGTACGTACCTTGTTGAGGAAATGGCCGATGCAGAGGACGTAGTCAATGGGTGCCTTCATGTTTTTGTTATGCACTATTTCCCCAAGAATGCGATCAATGGCTGCTCCCTGAAAAGGAAGGAAGGAAGAAACTACTTGGTTAATTATTGTGTGGGGGGAAAAAAAATCCAAGGAGCAGGCAACCGCTAGGCTTCAAAGATTTACCTTTGTAACACCAACAGCTCGAACCTCCACCGAACGGCCTCCATGGACGACATCAAGGGCAGCATTTGAGATTGGGCCGGTCCATAGATGCTGCAGCAAGTCTCTCGCTTGGAGCCTTCCAAACTCAACATCTGAATATTTGCCAAAGCAGGAAGAAGATGGGTGAGCTTAAGATGGAAGAGAAAAAAGAGGGGGGATGAAATCAAGGAGATAAGGAGAAGGGTTGTTTACCTGCGTACTTGTAATTCCATACTAGTGAAGTTTCACGGAGCTCGAAATGGGATCGAGGCGTCCTTTCTGTAAAATACTCGAAAACATGCTGAAATCATGAATAAGCATCAGGGTTTTTGAAGATTCAATAAAAGGGCCTTTCCCCTCTATAGTTTGTGTCGAAAAGAAGTGGTGTTTTCAGGCAAGTAAATGTCAACCTTTACGCTGTCAACCCAGTCCATGTTGAGATTTTCAGGCATTGTTGTCATCCAGTCGCCACTCGTAAGGCGTAAGAACATCCCATTCTCTGCTGCTAACCACATATTGAATTCCTCGAAGTTCTGCTTCACAAAATTTCCGCTGAATTAGAGAGCAGCATAATGTGGTCCACGAGGGCAAAAGGATCAAGTTTTAGAGATGCCAGGTGAATACATTATCTAGGACTGATCGATCACTTCCGCTGAGGACAATGACAGTCGTCTTTTCATCACCACACAGCTTCTTCAAAGGTTCTTTCAGTTCAGGGTTCAGTCTAGGTTCCAGCTCTCTAATTTGACCACCTCTTCTACCAGAAGAGTCTACTGGTTCGGTTAAACTTCCATTAAACCCCTGGGGGGAGAAAATGGATACATTACTGATTGTTATTCAAAAACTACGAAGCAATGTAAGAGAGGAGATGAGCATTTACCAGTATAAGCAAGCGATTGTGGGAGCAGGTGTAGCGGGAAACTGCAGTGTCGATTGGAAGGACAGGAAGCACCTGCCTTGTCCTTAGCTGTGCTTCAACCACAGTGTCGTTCAGTTCACTACACCAACGAGATTCCGCATGAGAAATATTTTTGGCCAATGAGTAGCTGTCGGAGAGCAAGGCAGAGAAATAGACTTCTCAAGACATTAAGGTGGTTGCCAGAACTAAAATCATCTTACAAGTAAAATCTTGCAACCGCTGTGACTAAAGAGGTAAAAGATTGACAAACACTGAATTCAACAGTTCTTTTCAGTTCCATCCAAAGAGTAAGTGCAAGATGGGGAGATCATATAGAAGGCAAGAAATGTTATGAGTACCTGACGAAGGTTGCAGCCCACTCTTGTGATGTATGAGTCGTCACATGCATGAAGTTGTGGTGGAATCTCTTCTCTCTTTCATCTTCTGACATATTCAGAGCATAACGAATCGATGTAGCAACGTCTGAGATATTCCATGGGTTGACCAAAAGTGCTCCAGCTCCAAGCGACTGTGCTGCTCCAGCAAACTGATACACAAAAAACATCGTCTTAACTCATGAACTTCAGCAATCAAATGATTAATAAACTTTTGAATATAACCATACCAAGCAACCAAGACAACAAAAAACACAACAAATTTTTGGTTTGCAGATGCGTGACATTTTAGTGGTTTAATGTCCTCTCAACCATTGCAAGTACAGATATAATTGCCAAACTAGGAAGTCTAATTACCTCACTTAAAATGAGGACCCCTTTCTTGGCAGCCTGGCAGGCGACGAACTCATAGCTGACAAGATTCATTCCGTCCCTTAATGACGTAACAAGTGCCACATCTAGAAATAAAATACAGCAAATCTGTCAATGTTGCTAGCAAGAGCAGCTCTTATGCAAAAAGATCACCAAAAGTTGGGTTACAACTATTCCGAATCATCGATGCATGGCTTTAATTAGGATAAGAGCTCTGAGAGCCCATGTAAATCTGTACCGGTAACAGCGTATAGTGCACATAGAGCTGTAAAGTCAAGTGATCGATCCTGTCAACAAGAGAAAAGTGATTTGGAAAGATTGACAAAGAACATGAGAGAACAAAAAGGCTAAAACTTAAACATGTTCCCAAAAAATTACAAGGGGAAAACTATGTGACATGAATATGACAAGTATGCAGAACAGAACAAGAATAAGTGTATAACTATACTGCTGGTTAAAGTAAATTTATGTTGGAATATATGCAGAAACTTAAGCCATTGTTAGGCAAAAGAATCAATCTCAATTAAGAAGCAAAACTTGACACACCAGATAGAGGCTCAATCTTAGCAGAGCAGCAAGACAGTAGTAACTACGACAAATGATTACAGGTAAAAAGTACAGTATATTTTGCCTAATTCGCCCTGGGAAGGTCATTTTATTTTACTTCATGTGAATTGTGATCAAACATCAGGTTGCTTCATTGCAACCAATTCTCAAAGAGGTCATAGAAGATTATCCAGCTATTGAGTAGAAGAACAAAGACAAACCAGATGGTGAATTGGAACACTGGTAAGGGTCCCAAATTTTCCGTTGATGCGTCCAACAATCTCATGAACTTGGCTTGTAAGCTTTTGATCTATAATTAGGTAAGTAAAATGCGTTAGACTAATTGTCAAGGAGAGATGGTTCTACACTTGACCAAGGAGTTCTGAGATTAATTGTCAAGGAAACATGTGCAACAACACATTTCATCTTTTAAGTATACATTTTGGCTGGTTTACATGAACAAGTAAGTAGAACGAAAATAAGAGAAAGGGATCTCACACTCAGGAACATCTGTTCTTGTGGGCACAGCAATTTGCAGAAGCACTACTTTTTCACGCCATTGTGGATTTTCCTCCAGAAAAGCCTCAAATGCCAAAATCTTTTGGGGTATCCCTTTGATCATATCAAGACGATCAACACCTAACATTAACTGTCCATTGTTCAAAAGTACTATCTCCGATCAGAGTGAAACCTAGTAACATTACCAGTCGTATTATAACTCAATCAACATTCCAAGAGGGAATTAGTAACAATAATCCTTTTTCAACAGTACTTTCTCGACATAGGCTAGTAACAATCAACTACAGAGCCACAAAGGTGACAGATTACAAAAGAACTCTATAAATGAAACTAAAATGAAACAGTTAGACAGAGTATGTTCTCAAAAATGGAAAAGAAACTCCAACCTTTCTGCCAGCAAATCTTTCTTTCAGATCTTTCATACTCTCCTTGACTTTCGGAAGCTCTAGAGCTCGGATGAATCTATCTGAATCTATCCCAATAGGGAACTGTTGTTTGGATCACCCACGAAGAAACATGTGCCAAAATGAGGGAAAATGAGGAAATTGGAGAGAAATATGCATGAGCTGACTAAACCTATTCATTCAAACAACACTTTCGCAAGCCGTGCAAGAACAGAACGAAAAGAAAAGAAAAACAAAGGTGATCTGAGCATACCGCTGCAACACGAGTAAGCCTCCCCTGATCTTCTACTCCTTCAGGTGTCCCCTCAAGTCCCAAGATGCGAGTACATGCACTGACAAAGTGCCTTGCGTAATCATAAGTGTGGAACCTGGAACATAACGTACCGTCCAAGCCATCAGAAAATAAGAACTCAGAAAACATTCTTAAAGATTGTACTAAGCTTGCTTATATTGAGGTCATGGAAAAACAGGATTAAGCATATGACCACATCACCCCACAGATAGAGTAGGGGCAACTCCAGTAAAGCCTTATGAGCTGCTTATGAATCACATCTCAGGAGTAGTAACTAAAGGAAACTCCATGCCCATTACATGGTCCACTTACCCAACTAAATCAGCAGCCAGAACGGATCGCAGGAGATCTGAACGTGATGGCAGCATCCTATGTATCTCCGATGAAGGAAAAGGCGTGTGGAGAAACCACCCAACCTTCATTTTGCTGTTGTGCTCTTTTAAGCACTTGGGGAGAAACATCAGATGGTAATCATGGCACCAAACGACATCTCCCTCCTCATAATGCTCGTTCACAACATCAGCAAACATGTGATTCGCCCTCTTGTAGGCATCAAACTGGGACTGGAAACTACGGGTGGTCGAGAGTCTGTCTTCTTGGGGAAGACCCAGATAATGGAAAAGAGGCCACAGGACATTGTTGCAGTAGCCATTGTAGTACTGGTGAACAGTATCTTCATCAAGGAAAACAGGGATGCACCTCTGCAACCATCAAGAGAAAAGTCACCCAGATTGAAGATAAAACGAGAAAAAGCTTACGATCTTGAAGAGATACAATATTATATTAGCCTTTTTTTCCAAAACCTTTTTGGCCAATGCCTCAGTTAGTGCCTTCTGTCCACTTTCATCAGGTACGTGCACACCGGCCCAGCCAATCCACCTGGCATCAAACTCCTTCACCCCTTCAAAAGGACAATTAACAAGTAGCAGTCAAAACAACAACTTGGGACCAATAGGCAGAAAAGTACAAAAAAGAAAAAGAGGCATTGAATATGAATTTCAAAGACTCACCCAAAAGTGCACTGACTAAGCCGCCCACACTGATCTCAAGATGCCACGCATCATCAGCCATCCGAGTTGCAGAAACGGGGAGCCTGTTGGCAACCACCAGCAATCTTTGTTTACGAGGCCGCACATCTTGCGGAGGAGAACCTTCCAACAATCCTTCGAAATCCTGCTGCTCGTCGCTTAGTTGGCAAGATAAAATGGAATCCTGGGAGAAGAAATCGGCTTCCGATAGAGTATCTCCTATCTCCTCAGAGGGAGTGGAAACTCGGCTGGATTTCCGAAGCTCTCTATCCCTCAGAAGCCTCTCTAGTCTTGTTCTCGGCGTGGTAGGACTCGGACAGTAATTATTCCCTGGCATGCGCTTTGTTTCTGGACCGAACGAACAAGAAAGAAGCAAACAAACAAAGAAAACCCTGCAATCTTTAGCACATTGTGAATCATAAGTCTAGAGAATTGAATGTCATTGCAAGAAGAAGATGAAGAAAAAGAAACCTACCCAGTAGAGACGTTAGTTGTTATCAGACTCTGCTAGAATTCAGACGGCCATTGACACAATAAAGCAAACACCTTCCCTGCAGGCCGTCCGAGCGCGAAAACACAGTCGCGAACGGTTCTTTCGCCTTCCCGAGCGCTCACTTGATCCTTCTCAACAAGATTGAAGAATGAATCAGAGAGAACCAACGCCACATTCTGAAGTGATCTTTCCCACTGGATTGATTGACATTGCAAGAGAAAGAACAAATACTCACACGTCGAGACGAAGCTTTCTCTTATGCGAGTCTTCAGACGGCCATTGACGCAATCTAGCAAACACCTTGCCTACCGGTCGTTCTCAAAGAATGCTTTCTTGATCCTGCTTCGACGAAAGAAGAAAGAATCACCGGCGAGCGGCGGCGACGTTGGCTTGCATTGATCGAATTCCAATCACTGTAGAGAATCGGATTGTGAACGCGAAGAATCAGAAACGGTTACTACCGGGGGGGAAGTTAACGGGGAATGTGGAGAGCGAGAGCGAGAGAGAGAGAGAGAGAGAGAGGGATCTGTGTCGTTGGATTGGGTTATATATGGTGATGGCGATGTGGCGAGGACAGTGGTGGTGGGGGAGGGGAAAGGGAAGCAAGTTGCAGCAGTTAAGCGGAGCGCGATATTTTGGGCCAGGTTTTGGATTGTGGCTTCCAGCCGCGCGCTGACTCTCTTCTCTTCTCGGTGTTTGGGAAAAAAATTGAGAGAATCAGAAAAATCTTACAGGGCGACGGAGGGAAAGGAAAGGGGAAGACAGGGAAATTGGCTGGCAGAGGCAAAGGACGGAGGGAGAAGGAGGAGTGACAGCACGAGAGAACAAACTGCAGCCATGCAGCAGAAGCAAGGCCAATAGTAGAGAGTCGAGATAAATTTTTATTTGCTGAAAATAAAAGAAAAAGGGGGAACACAAGAAAAGCGATGGAAGAAAAGGGTTTTGGTCCCTAGAAAAATCTGGTACAGCTCATATTCGGCTAAGGAACAAATAAATACGGTTGGATAATTTTAGTGAAGGAAACTCTTTTTTTTTTTTTTCAATTGAATCTGATAATCTTATTTAGATTACTAAGGATTTGAATTATTTTTATAGGATTATGGTCTCAATTGATTTGAATTTTACTTTCAGAAAAACAAAAATTAATAAGGCAAGCAAATTTCAGTTACAAAATAAATTTATTTCATTAATTTTTTATGGTACTTATATTACTCGCTCTTCACGAGAATATACCAGTCAAAGCGCGTTGAGCTGGCATTGAAAGTTTTCACGAGAATAAGGAGATACATTCATTCGGAATTTTGTTATGGAATGTTCATAATACTTTTGTTTATAGATGCGTACTAAATAGTATTTTCAATAAAATAATTTTTATTGTGTCCGTTGTCCACAATGTAAGATATATCATGATATTTAGGGGCGATGAACGGTTATTAGTTAACGGTTCAACCGCTAACCGCATAGTTAACTGACTGTTAATGGTCAAACCATTAACCGCTAAGAAGAATGCTGGTCGTTTAGCGAAAGTTGAAAATTTCTTATCGGTTTACCAAGCCATAAATGATTAATAACAGATGGTTTGAGGTTAACCGATTAATAACCGATAAGGGTTATTAACCACCAAAAATAGGCATAAAGCCACTCTCAACCAAGGAAACGATTTCCCCCCGAGCACTCGACACTCACTGACTTCAATCTCCTCATCTTCTCGGTTGAAACAAAGGATGAAGGCTAGTCGGCAAGGCTGTGCTGCGAAACATGAGTTGATGGCCATTGAGCCATGGACGCTCTCTAGTGGCTTCCTCATCAGATCGACAAGAGGATGAGTAAGAGAGAGAAGTGATGGTGGACGACTATGATATTGTGTTGTCGTCAGCCCTCCTCCACTACTATTGTCTACTACATACACACTAACTCACAAATCATTCATATTAATTGTTCAATATTAAAAATAAACCTCCACAAACAATATGATTAATTGAACGTGTGAAGAAATTGTTTAGAAATTATAGTTAATTAGTTAAAGGTTCCGTGGATCGTGGGGGTATGGACTTGGGTGCGGGTATCCACGGATTAGATATGGCTAAAACCCAAACCCAACCCGCAAAAAATATCGCGGGTTTAAATCCAAATCCGGCCCACAACCCGTCAAAGCAGACTTTACCCGCTTTGACTGGGTTGGATCGGGTAGGATACCCACGGATTCAAGTTCTACTGTCATCACTAATTGGCGATAACTATTAATTGCTATCAAACCCTACTATCACCTATAATTTTTATTTGATAACATGATATTGTGAAAATGATATTGCATAATTAAGGTCAATGTAACCATACCTCTCCTCTGCACAATAAGCCCCCCTCCTTTTCCTACTCTCACCGTCCATGGGCCACTACCCTTTTCTACATCCAAACCCCAAACCTCTCCTAAGAGCATCCACAATCGGTGTCTTTCCCCCATTTCATTATGATATGGCAATTCCATTACCAATTTTATGGTTGTAGCTTATTATTTCATCTTTGAAAGATTTCATTAGATGAAATTCAATATGGAAGAGGCAAAGTGGGCCCACTTCAATTGGTTAGAGAGTATACAAATTATGGGATTTCCTACGGTAACTTTACGTAAGGTAACTTGAATTTTTTTACCTGCTATAGCAGGTTTCACAGGTCGCATTACGTAAAATACAATAGGCATTACGTAATGCTTACGTAACATATGGTAATCTTACGCAACAATTTTAAAAGATCCATCACGGAAGCCTTACATAATAGGATGCGTCTTTACGTAATGAGCATTAACCTCACATTACGTAAAATGCTAAGTCATTACGGAAGCCTTATGTAACGCTACTGATTTAACTGTTACGTAAGAAATAACTCTTGTTCCGTAACCTTTACGTAATGGAAGGTCTTTTTACGTAATAAGTATTAATCTCACGTTACGTAAAGTGCTAAGTCATTACGGAAGCCTTACGTAACGCATCCGATTTAACTGTTACGTAAGAAATAACTATCGTTTCGTAACCTTTACGTAATGAATGTGTATTTTACTTAACAGTTGGAAAATGTCATTACGGAAGCCTTACGTAATAGAAGGTCTCTTTACGTAATGAGTATTAACATCGTGTTACGTAAAGAGCTAAGTCATTACGGAAGGTTTACGTAATGCTTCCAATTTCACTGTTATGTAAGAAATAACTATCGTTTCGTAACCTTTACGTAATGGATTTGTATTTTATGTAACAGTTGTAAAAGGTCATTACGTAATGCTTCTAATTCAATAAGAATTAAAAAAGGAAAGAATTAAAAAAGGAAAAACAATTAAATGCAAAAAAGGAAAGAAAAAAGTTAAAGGTAAGTGGCGTTGGTGGTTACCGGCAACCTCCTGTTGTCATTAATTTTTTTATATTTATCTTTTTAATCAATGGTTTAAAATAAGTTTGGTCGATTTTAACGGTTTATATCTATACAAGTTACCTAACTTGAAATTATACCAAGTTACTGTAGGAGGTCCCACAAATTATTTATTGTATTATAAACGGGAATAGGGCTCACCATATTGAATTGAAAGTAGATTTCATGAATGTAGAAAAAATAGAAGTGAAGAGATGAAATTGTAAAAGGTGTACATGTGGCGATAGGGGCCACAATTCCACAAATGAAATAGTTATGCTATTTCATGGTTGTTAATGGTCTAAGTCCATTGAGAATCATCCTTCTCTTAGTGTATCAGCCCCTGGGCCCCAGCCCAATCCACCCCCTGCCCTCCCTTACTTCCTCCCGACCCCAGCTCGACCCACTCCTCCTACGAGATCCAAACCCAAACCTTCTTCTTCCCCAGCTCGAATGCTAGCTGTGGCTTATTTATGGCGGAGGCATCACTCTCTTTGTTTCTTTTGGTTGCTGGGATACGAAAGCCTGCAATCATAGGCCATGATTCAAAAAACAGCAAAGCGTTGAAAAGCAGAGCCATCTTACACATTCGTTACTTAAGTCAACCCATCAAGGACAGGACCCCCATCCTATGGATTAATAAGGTGGTGCATGGTTGGCACCAACACTTCTCCAAAGCTAACCACCATCTCCATTTCCAACAACTTCTACCCATATACATATGCGCAAGCAAGCAAGCATCGACTCAACTCTAGTGACCTTCAGTCTTTCATCAATGGCTGCCAGCATTGTGAAATCGGCAGTGCACAAGTTATGCTGGCAATGGCAAGCCCTGGTGTTGATTGCCCTGCATCACTGTTATTGCCACAATTCTATAGCCATTGCACAAGAAGTCCCATGCTGCTTCATATTCGGGGACTCTTTGGTCGACAATGGCAACAACAACAACATTCTGTCACTAGCCAGAGCTGATTACCCTCCTTACGGGATCGACTTCCCGGGCGGACCCTCTGGCAGATTCTCCAACGGCAAAACCACCGCCGACGTCATCAGTACGACGACCATAAACTCTGTTTCCTCTGTTTTACCACTTGCTGTTAACATTTGCAGTAATTCCGGGTCCTCTGTTTTTGCTATGTTTCTCGCAGCTGAGCTACTGGGATTCGACGACTACATTCCTCCCTATGTAGCTGCCGCGGGGGAGGACGTACTGAAGGGAGTGAACTATGCGTCGGCGGCGGCGGGGATCCGTGATGATACCGGCCGCCATCTGGGAGAGCGAATCAGCTTTAGCGGCCAAGTGAGGAACCACCAGGACACGGTGTCACGAATAGTCGAGTTGATGGGAACTGAAGAAACGGCAGCGAAGCACTTGAGCAAGTGCATTTACTCGTTCGGATTGGGGAGCAACGACTACCTCAACAATTACTTCGTCCCGCTGGTTTACACCACCGCGCTGGAGTTCACTCCGGAGGAGTACGCCGACGACCTGATTCGAACATACACCGGTCACCTCCAGGTCAGTAAATTAGACACTAGTTTTAATTACTATACAATCCTGCATCTGAATTAACGAATTGGAAGCTTAGTCTTGCTCAATTTGGTCGATGGGGCAGATTATGTACAAGTATGGAGCGAGGAAGTTTGTGTTGATTGGAGTCGGACCCGTTGGGTGTAGCCCGAGTGAGTTGACCTACCACAGTCTCGACGGCAGAACATGTGTCCAGAGGATCAACTCTGCTAACCAGATCTTCAACGACAAGCTCCGGTCGCTCGTCGCTCGGCTCAATCGGAACGTCTCCGATGCCAATTTCGTGTTCATCAATGCTTATGGGATTGTCCAGGACTTGATTGACAACCCAGGAGGTCATGGTAAAAGTACTCTTAAGTAGTGTGTGGGAAAACAGATGGTGTCTCGGGAAACAGAGTTCATATTTTAGTTTTTTGTTGTTTTCGTAGGGTTCCAGGTGACCAACGAGGCGTGCTGTGGAGTGGGGAGGAACAAGGGTCAAATTACATGTCTACCATTGCAAGCGCCGTGCGAGAACAGGGACCAGTACTTGTTCTGGGATGCTTTTCACCCGACGGAGGCGGCGAATAGAGCTGTGGGAAGGAGGTTTTACAAAGCTCAGTCTCCCTCTGACACTTACCCATTCGATATTCACCGGCTGGCTCAGCTCTAAAGCCTACGGGTGGGTGGGGGATTAGTTTCGAGTGATGAAGTGAAATAATTGGATTTAGTGAGTTAGTCATAGGAGCGGAGTCCGCCAACGAACAATTTTTTTCCAGATCGTGAAAACAAGTTTAGATATTTTCTTCAAAGAGCACAAGCCGGCTGGCATAAGTATCAGTAATGGGAATGTGTAAATTTGCATGCAAACAAAGATTACTTTGATGGAAATTTGTTCGATGAATAAATTCATCAAGAAGAGCCGGCTGACATAAGTATCACTTTACAACAACAACAATAACAATAATAATAATAATAATAATAATAATAATATATCTTATTGAAAGAAGAGGCAAACTTTTCACTATTTCTTAGAGACCTTTCACTATTTCTTACAGTCACATCAATTATAATTATTTTATTATTATTTTTGATTAAATAACAAATGTTTTAATCTTTTTATAAACAAATATTTTAATCCTCTTATAACAATTAAATCCAAATTCACGTGTGACTTTTCACTATTCTTTAGAGTCACATCAATTAGGATTATTTTATTATTAAATAAACAAATATTTTAATCCACTTATGACAATTAAACCCAAATTCACGTTTGTTCAACTTAATTCGACCTCGCGGTGTTGTAGAATTTTCTACCGGGAACGAATTTTACCGGGGAACAAGCAAACTTTTGTTTTAATCCTATTATAAACAAATGTTTTAATCCTCTTATAACAATTAAACCCAAATTCATGTGTGTTCAACCTAATTTGACCCCGCGGTGTTGTCGAATTTTAGACCGGGATCAAATTTTACCCGCTTCTGTAATTAACAAAATGGGTCATTAATCAAATGTTTTAAATATTTCCTCTTATGAAAATTGGACCCAAATTCATTTGTGTTCAACCTAATTCGACACGATATCGGTGTTGCCCAATTTTAGGCCGATAATGAATCTTACCCGCTTTTGTAATTAACGAATTGTGTTGGGTGTGGATTTCGTTAAAAACTCGCCCGCTTTATCGAGTTGAATCCAGTATTGACGACTTTTTTTACCGACCCTTGAGACTTTTGGGGGCGTGAATGAATTTTATCCAGTTTTGTAATCATTGAATTGGGTCGAGAACGCATTTTACCTGCTTTTTCCGAACCGGCATCGGTGTTGCCGAATCGTAGGCCAAGAACAAATTTTACCCGCTTTTCTAATAAACGAATTGGGTCGGGTGAGAATTTTATTAAACTCTCTCCCCGCTTTATCGAGTTGAATCCAATGTTGACAAATTTTGGGATGAGGACGAGTTTTACCCTTGACACTTTTGGGGGTATGAATTAATTTTATCCACTTTTGTAATCATTGAATTGGGTTGAGAACGCATTTCACCCGCTTTTTCGGTCTAATTCAACCCGATCAAAGCGGGTTGAACCCGTGTTGACGATTTTTTGGTTGGGGATACATTTTATTTTTACCCCCTTTTGTAATTTGACCTGATATCGATTTGTCGAATTTTAGGCCGAGAATGAATTTTATCCGCTTTTGTAATTAAAGGATTGAATCGATTGTGACTTTTGTTAAAAACTCGCCCCAATTTATCAAACCGGTCAAATAATATGAAATCCAGTATTTACGAGTTTTGGGTCGGTTATTTTAACTCTTTAAAATAACACTTTATGGGTTACTATTGGGTAGAATCACATAACAAAAGACGCTTTTGTAATTAACCAAACCTTTAAGGACCAAAATATAATTATGTTTTCCTTCCCCCTTTATTTCCATCCACACATTTTTACCACTCATGTAATCCTCCCTCTCACTACCCACCCACCAATCTTCATCTCTCCCTTTCTTTTTCTTGTTTTCATAACTACACAACTGACTTAGACTATATTACTAACATCACTATCAGAAACACTTGCATCAACTTGGGGACATCTTGCTTTTAGCAATAGTAGCAAATCTTGGAGCTTTCTCATAAACTAAACCTCACTGATCCTGAATTTTAGCATATAATCTTCGACATCTCTCACGCCACAGTTCACTAACCGCCATCTTTCATATAATAACCTTCCTCGAATAGAACTTGGATTATTAGCCTTGAACTAGTTAATTGCCATAGCTGGAGAAGCTGACCATTGCCTTGTTGATAAACTCACGAATCTGAATACTGCTTGGAGGATTCCAGTAGAGTAAGAATAGGAGAAGAAGCGATGGTCTCGAGATTCATGCATTGAGTTGTAGAGTGGACACTAGACTATCAGTTTATCTCGAGGGGGACACCATGACTTAGATTTCAAGTTATACTAGGCCACCTCTGCTTGCTTTGGTCTGATAGTTTCCCAGCTAAAGTTCTGGATTTCAAGACCTTCTTCCATGCCCAAGAAATGGAAATGGAAAAAGGAATGTTACATACAAATGTACAGGTGAGATGATACTGCCAAACCCAGCTTGCCCAAAGAAAAGAGGAATTAGAATAGATGACCCGAAGGTGTCGAATAAGATCATCAACATTTCAGCTTCTTAGGTCCGTAAACCCCAACCCACCCTCTTTCTTTGACAAGGCCACACATTTCCAAGCCACCTTAGCCTTTGTCCCTTCTTCCTCAGAGTTCCATAAGAAGCCAAAACATGCCCTTTCCACCATCTTAATCGCTTTCACAGGAAGATGAATAATATTTATCCAATATTGAGAAATACTTGAGTTGACATAGGACACCAACTCCAGTTTTCCAATATAGGACAAAGTCTTCAACCCTCAACTTCTCACCCTAATTGTGATCTTAACAATTAAAGTTTGGCAATCTGTTGCATTCAACTTTCTAGCAACCAAAGGAATCCCCAAATACCTAACATGTAGTTTTCCTATATGGAACCTAGTTTTATTTTTAATTTGCTGCAGAGTACTATTATCCACCCCAACACAAACATAACTTCACTTTTGTCCAGGTTGAACCTTAAACCAAAGACTACATAAATGAAATCCAGAATCTTTCTTGTAACGTCAACTGCCTCAAAGGTCCCACTATGATATGATGATATGATAGTGGTACGATGATAACAAAATTTTTTTTGCTCAAAGATCACTATCGTACCAAAAAGGCGAAGTCAGGAGGTGTCATGGGACGCGTATGCAGCCTCTTGTGGCGTTGGTGCATAACTCAGGTTTAGAAAGAGCGATGATCTTGGGTATTTGGTGGCAAGGAGAGAACGTGGCAATACTATATGTTCAGCTGCAACTGAGTTGCGATTATACATGATTGGGGGAAAAATGGGGGGAAAACTTGCATAACCAAAACTTTCGCATTTTTGTCAATAATAGCCAAATTTGGAGAAATACCAGTTATAACCACTTCCGTCCAATTCTTTAACGGTGTTAGCTAATAGGCTGACTGGACAAAGGAAAAGGCTGAGTTGGTGAGTTTCTCACGTTATAATTACACGCTGAATTAATTTTATTTTAAAAAATTATAATTAAAATAAAAAATAAAAAGGAAATGAAAAGTCCCCACCCAACCCATCGCTCCCTTCACTTTTCCCTTCTCTCTCTTCGCATCCCTAATTATCCAAACCATCAACGCCGCTGATTCCGCCGTCATGGCCCGGTTGCCGCTTCCCTTTTCGCTCCCGGGGGTTGCCCAACCACAATGCCTTTGCCCTCCTCTCCAACGATAACCCCAACAGGAGTGGAGATGATTGACGAGTTTACGGTGGGAGCAGCGCAAGGAGTTTCTGCGGCTATGGTGGTGACCCAACGAGATGCAGGGCCGTGTGTGGCTACATGCGCTTCTTCCTCTTCGAGATGGGGAAAGCTATAGGCGAATATGTAGGGTCTATGGCCTATGGGGCATCTTTGACGATGGGGTTGACGAATCTGGAGAAATTCTCTTATAGTCAAATTCTGGTGAGGAAGGTGTGGTTGATGAATCTCGGAAGGGGCTATGGGGCATCTTTGAAAGTCGCCATCCTCCTCATTTAAGATCCATTGTAGGCAACAGAGGAAGAGAGAAGGATGAGGCGGGGAGGCGTGCATCGGGACAACATTATCATCTTCAACATTATCATCTTGAGCGTTCTAGGTTTCTTCAAATCTCTAATATCTAATTGATAGCTTCATCCAATTCCTTTTTCCCGATTAAGTTTGTGTGATTTTTTCTTTTTGTATGAACATAGTTGGGTCTAGGTGCATCGATGGGAGTGGAGAGACGGATTGGGAAGGTTGACTGTCGACTACGATTCGGGAAGAAGCAAAATGAGGTGGTGGTGAGATCTTTAAATGGAAATTGGGTATGGGCCACACACACATATATATATATATATTAATTTAAAATGAGACATGGCATCTATGTGGCATGGCGAGTCTATGTTGAAATGATGTGTCGTTCAGATGACAGCCACATCAGCCTAACGTCCATTTAACTGACAGAACAATTAACGGTGTTAAATTATTTGACGGAAATGGCTAAATTAGTAAAATAAGTTTGAAAAATATGGTTATAAGTGGTATTTCTCCAAAAGTGGCTATTATTATCACAAACGGGAAAATTATGGCTATGTAGGTGTATTTTGCCTAAAAAATGTGATAGTGAAGTTAGCATCTTTCTAAGTTTTCTCATTTGTATAGAGATTAGCCAGTTTTAGTTGCAGTAGTATTTGTAAAAGGGATGGTTGGCTGCGGCTTGGTTATTTTTTGAAGCTTGATAAGTTGATCAAGTTGAGCTTAACATATTTTGATAATTATCGGGTGAAAAAATGTGAACCATAAGATCTATCATTTTCCAATTATCGTCTTTAGATATAATTTTGCAGTTATATATATACACACACTTCTACAGTGCCCAGGGCAAAATTCGGGGTACGGGTACCTTGGCCGATCTTAACCATTCATTCTCAATATCCACGGCTCACGTTTGTTGAACCTAACTGCGCCACTAAATAACTAAACAAATTACAAAAATCCTCCTTACGCATTAAGATTGTTTTCATCCTAGTCCAACTAACTGCCCCGATTAAATTAAATGGATTAAGACTACAAACCCAATTGGGTAGACCCAGTGCCGCCCTAACCAATTTCCAGTCTCCCTAACCAATTACACGATCCCTCTCTCGTCTTGGAGGGACGCCCCTTCACAGTTCCAAGAGAAGCTCCCCATCCAATTTGAACTCCCCAACTTAATCATCTTTTTTATCCCAATTTCTTGCATCCACATTCGACGTAGTTTGAATTTCCCAATTT